GTGAACCTACTGAGAATGTTAAAAATAAGGCTTCATTTTGAAGGATGGCTGCAAAAATATGAACTGGGCAGAGAAGATGGGGCTGCTTTTTTCTCCCTTCCATGAAAGAAGTGAAGGACGGTTCAAATGAAACACGTGAAAGTTTTTTCTAACGTTAAAATCAACTTTAAATGTCCTGAAATTGACACCTAGCATGTTAGGAAAAATCTGTACATAATTAATTTTTCTCAATTTCTATTTTGTCAGTACCAAACACTAAAACCCTATCTACCCAGAGATAGTCATTTTAAAACATAGTATGTCAAGTTGTTGATAATTTTGTTGAGGTAGAAAAATTATGAAGGAGAAACCATCACTAATTAAATGAACTCTGAATGCAATAAGGATACGAGGGAATAACTCAGTTTGTTCTTGAGTTCAGAGAAACTTGAGGGAGGACAATCGGTTCCTGCTTGATTGTGTAACATTAATAGTGTCTGTTAAGGCTAAGGTGTGGTGGGTGTTTACTGGGGAGCGGGAACAGGTCCCAGAATGGGATAGGTACCAGACAGGAGATGAGAAAGAAGGGAAGAACAAAGGCATCATTGCAGAAGAGCCCATCCCTCAGCAGATGCTAGGGACCATCTCCTAGAGGGACTGAGGTCTCGGCACCACTACCCCTTTGAGAGGTCAAAGGGAAACGACTGCAAGATCTTTTCCAAAAGGCTGACTCCATGATATTGGAATTTTAATAAGCTTATCCTGGCAGAGATGGAGCATGCAATGGAAGCTGGTCAATCACTTAGTCAGAGTTGACAAAAACCTGTAGTATTCCGATAAGGAAGGCAAATCTGGGAGATATGAAGGGGAAGATACATGAAACTATGAAGTGATTTAGACAGAGCTGTGACCACAGAGACTGGTAGACATTGGGATGCTATGATGTGAAGATTTAGTAAGTACTAGATATTTGTTATGTACTTTGCATAGCAGTAATTTGTTATTGCAATTCCTATTTTTGTATACAACAACTGAACTTTGAAGTGTTAAGTGACTTCTCCTGGCTGACATTCCCATGATTCAGTATGGCCTTCTTAAGCCCTTCATGATCTCTTTTGATCCAGAGACTTGTGAGCTTCACCTCATCACCCATCATTATTTTTGTAACTTGTGTGATCCTTCTTCCATTAAATCATTATTCAATTCCCCCGGTTTCTCAAAAGGCAAGTGGCTCAAAGTCCACACTTGCTAAGTTAAGCCTGGATTTCATCCTTGGAATTTTCTTCCAACTCCTAAAATATAAATAGTAACTCAGTTCTATTGGTTTATCTGTCCAAACCATACACACTCCATCACCTGTTCCAGTCCCAGGCTTATGTTGTTTGCTACTTTATGTTTGAGCCTTCCTTGTTGTATAGAGAGTAATAGACATCAAATCAGTATTAGTGTAATAAATAAATGAATGAATTGATGGATGGAGCTGGAAAGCAGTTAGCCACAGATTAGGCCAGAATTGGAGCTTTGCTTTTGCATTTCAAGTGAAGTTTCTATTTTAGAGAAAACTGGTTCTAGGACTGGGATCTATCAATCAGGAGCTCCATGTTTTTTCATGATATATCCAGGGAAATGAAACTGTTAACATGGACCATCAGAGTTGGTAAATGCCTTACTAATTAGTGAGTACTGATTCTTACATGAACAGGGACTTTTTAAAGGACTTGTTCAGCCAGTTATTGGGCAGTTGGTGGATGAAAAACATCTTGCTTTTAGTGCAATAAAAGTTTACATAATGCCTATGAATATTTAAAATAATACCATAGTCTGAAGTGACATGCTAGGTAAATATGGTTTCTAAACATCAGCATCTTATTTTTGTTGCTTCTTGATACCAAACACATATGAATAAATACCTTGTGCTATGCTGTGGCCTTGTATAAACACAGTCACAAATAAATAATTTATTTTTAAACTACTTTCACATCAGAAACTTCAAAGCTGCATCTTAGTATGTAAGAAAAGAGACTGGCATTGTCTAATGGCAATGGCAATGGAAAAGATTGAGTTGAGAGCTTGAACAGTTACTGGGTGTTTCCTAATAGATGCATTTAAGAACTTAGAAAGTATTTAATACACAGAGAGAGCTGACAACTTGGGAGGTATTTGGATATTACTTTATGATCTGCAGTAAGTTTCTAGTTCTCATTCCATTAAAAGACAGTCTTTATTGTTAATCCACAGGTGTAGATAAGAGTCACTATTTGACTGCGGCTGAACCCTTTACAAATGAAATATGTCAAAGGCAGAAAGACAGGATGAATTACTTTTTAAAGGGGTTTTCAAAGATTTTCATGATTCCACTCATGACGCCACATAAAAATGACATGGCTTTTTTAAAAAATGTATAAATGTAAGCAAATTTATTTGGACATAATGCTTATGTACAAACTGAAATTCTTAATATTTAGATGAGGGCATTGTTTAAAACATAAGCACTTGAAATTTCTCTGAATTCTTGTAGGAGAAAAATTTGATAGTTTCTTTGTATATAAAAGTTATCTTCAAAGACTTAAGTAAGTCTTTTTCACACTGATTATTTTTAATATTAAAGTAGATTGCTAGTGGAACTGGGGATCTGACTCAATTGGTAAAGTTCTTGCCTTGAAAATAGGTTGCTAGCTTTGCTGTGCTTTGTCAAAGTTCCATGGAAAGCTGCTGAATGAAATGTATTAATTAAAGTAACTATACAAGGGTTTAAAGACACTCTCAGAGGCAAACTCAGAAATGGTTTTGATATTTCATATACTGAAAAACAGTATTACACTTCCATATTTGTGTTTGTGTTTGTGTGTTTGTGTGTGTGTGTGTGTGTGTGTGTGTGTGTGTGTGTGTGTGTGTGTGTGTGTGTGTATGTTTGAAACATGGTTTCCCTGTAGCTTTGAGCCTGACCTGGAACTTGCTTTATAGACCAGACTGGCCTCGAACTCACAGAGATTCACCTGCCTCTGCCTCCTGAGTGCTAGGATTAAAGGCATGCACCACCACCACTGAACACATTTCCATATCCTTAATAAACTTATGAGTTTAGCATGCAAGCCCTGGTGTTATCTGCCATCAAGGCATTACTTTTATGAAACTATCTTTGGAGACACTTTCCTTGTGAGCATTACTGGCTTCCACTCTACTCTCCTGAAAATGCATTGAGGAGTATGGATCTACCTTAATGGTATGAGTTTTTCCATTACTAGGACAGTTGTCAAGGGAGGGAGTATGAGGAGATAAGGCTATGGAAATTCAGTCCCCAAGGTTAGAAAGTAAGATTATTGCTCACATCCCTTTGGAGATGCAGATGAATTTATATTCCATAATGGAAGCATTTAAAGCATGGTGAAATATTTTAGCATATAAACGGTTTGTATGCTTTTGATTTAGAAAATAAGCAACAATAAGTACACAGAAGATAGCTGAGCATACCTTTAATCCCAGCGCTTGGGAGGCAGAGGCAGGTGGATCTCTGTGAGTTAGGTCAAGGCTAGCCTGATCTACAGAGGAAAATCCAGGATAGGCTCCAAAGCTACCCAGAGAAACCCTGTCTTGAAAAATCAAGAAAACAAGAAGAAGAAAGAGAAGGAGGAGAAGGAGAAGGAGAAGAAGAAGAAAGGAGAACACAAAAATTAATATCTGCTATTTATGCGATTAAAAGTGGTTTGCACAAATATTAAAATACTAGGGAAGAGATATCACTTAGCTCAGTTTGATGGGATTACTTTTTACAGTGGTAGAGATTCCACCACAGATATGTGGCAACCAAAGGTCATCCTGACAGAGTACACTGAGGTCCAGTTTGAATTTTCCTGTTTTCCAATCTGCATGTTTCCATCTATAGTTCTCTATATTTAATAATCCACCAATCCCTGACCCTTAAACATGCTGCTGAATACACCCAGAGGAAATACCAAAAGGAAGCAGGAAATGATACTAAGGACAAAGTGTTTGAATGATCACATGACACAACAGTACTTGGAGGGTAAAAATGTTCATTGAACCTCCAGTTTTGGAATGAGAATTCCTGTTCATATTGAACCATGCTCAAGCCATTAACCTTTAGTTTTTATTCCTTTATTTTCATAGTCATTTATATATTAATCACATATTCACTTAATTCCTAATATATGAAATGTTTGTAATTTTTTAGATCCTGTTTCTCTTTAATGTTTTTAAAATATAAAGAAGAGACCAGTCTTGCATTGACTGTCCATATATACATATACATGTGGGTGTCATATATATATATATGTGTACATATACATATATACATATATACATATAAACATATATATATATGTATATATATATATGAAAAAAGGGGAAATTACCTACACAGCTTTGATGAAAAAGAAGCACCATTCTTTATTGCATATGTACTTATTTTATACCTTAAAGCTATTAACAATTCCAGAAGATTATCAACTCTTTTTTTTTCACAGTTTTTTTTTTCTTTTATTTACCTCTTTAGTCTATGGTGTCTACTGGAAAGGCAAAATCTAGAACAGCTTTACTCCCAGCATTTTATAATTAAGTTTATGAGACATACTTTCTCATTGACAATGGTTGCTTTGATCCCAGTATGTTGCTTAGAACAGAAAGTTGTTCTTCAAAAGTTTTGAGTAGATGCGAGAATTTTACCCATCATTTATTCTTCAAAGACTCCTTCCTGTTTTGGTGTTAGAGTGATGCTGTTTAAGGAAATGTTGCTCTTTGAGAATGACTTCAGTGGATATTGAGTGTGGAGAGTGTAGAAAAGAAAACTGGACTGCATTTGATTGAGTACAGCTAAAAAGACAAGTGTTCTCTTTTTTACAAACGGTGCGAAGGTCGGCTGGTTTTCAGGAAAGTGTCACTGATTTTCACTAGAAATTCACTGATTTCCTAGAAATATCAACTGTGTAGAGCAAACCCAAAACAGGTGCTGTTGTTAGGACAAGTGTGTGAGTGTTCTAATGGCCCCCTTCTCACCTCTGCAGGAGAGCTGGAAGCATTTCAGAGAGATGGGGAGCGGAAAATTCAGAGTAGGCAGCAACTTCCTGTGGGAACAACCTGGGGCCCTTTCGCTGGCAAGATGGACTTGAATAATAATTCCTTGGTAAGTGGACCTTCTAAGATGGTGGGCTACTCACTGTCAGGCTTTGTCTCTGCTTGTTTCCTGGTTTAATTGAAACAATGTTTGTTTTATGGCTGATTTTATGGATTTCCAAATGTTTTCCCAATCGTTTCTCTGTAATATATGTATAAGCAATGGATTTATATCAAATGGTTGACTAGTGAGGTAACTTGTCAGCTCACTGCTGTATCTAATGAACCAGGCTTAGTCTGTTCACATTTACTAATAAGTGCAATCACTTTTTTTTTTTCAGATGACACAAATTAAATATCATACATTATAGGTGTACACCAAAGATAAGAAATAAACAACTTTGGTCTCCTTCCATAATCCTGCCATTAACTATAAAACCATGAATGAATGATAAGGGTTATAAGTTTTCTTAAACTTTTAATAAAAGTCTGAGGCCAAAGGAGTCATCTGCTTGTTATTATGTGGATACCTGATTTCTTAGGACATAGGTATGAGAAGCAAGAGCCAGACTTTCCAGTAGCCCATTTTACCTCTGTGTTTCTACTTGCTCTCTAGCATTGCTAAACTGACATCTGAGAATTAAGATATTGATCATATTTAAAACTGCCACCAGATGCAACTACAACACTTTGTCGATTCTCCAACATCCTGTCAGTGGTTTCTGCCATTGAAATGACACCTGTAGTTCATATATGAAATGATGAAGTTTTTCCCATTTGTTATATAAAATATTTATATTAAAATTCAACATCTTATCAGCCTCTATTTCATTGTCTGTATATTCACAGGGTGGTGGTTTCGTGACATTTTACCATCTGTTAAATTGTGATGTATGGAAAAATAAACCTATTTGTAAAAATTTAACTTCTCATTGCTCTCTATAGGGAATGATTTTGTGGTTTTAATATTCCTCTACCATTCCAAAGCAGTTTTATGCCATACTTACTAATTTTTAAGAAATTCAGTTTATATGTTTGAAGTGTCCAATATTTTTCCCCTACATGAGGCATATGAATCCTCTGAAGTACCCTACTAGCTGTGGCTAATAATAGTCTATAGAAGTAGGTTACTACTTCAGTTTATTCTTTTTAGAATCTGAATCTCTAATTATATGGTCTATTAGGAACAAGACCTTTTAATTATAAAATTTAGGTATTTCACTACAGTATACATTTAAAATATTTTTACTTTGATATGCTCTCTCTTCTAGAACTTAATCTGATTTTATGTCATTAAATGCAATCTGTGCTATTACAGTAGTACGCTTGCTATTGCATAGCAAGTACTGATATGTAAAGAACATTTATTTATTTTCAGACTGCAGTGTATGTATTTGATAATTGATTAGTTTATTTACCCTTCCTAACAAATCTGTATATCTTCTGCATTTCAATTTTTAGTTTCATAAATGAGAAAACAAAAGTTCTGATTATTATTCCAGAATTTCTGTGATTAAGTCTTCCCATGCTGTCCTTTCTGTAGAATAGTTATAGTATATTTTAACATGACAAAGACTTTTATATAGATGTCAAATTTTAAAAAAAGAAAATAAGAAATGAAGACAGAATTTTGTTGATTTGTTTGCTTTACCTTGCTTATGGTACAGTTTGTAATTAGTCAAATATTTTTGCAATTTTATTGCGTTTTTAGAATTTGGACAGTACTTCAGTATGTTTTTTTTTTTAATGATACAAAGGCAAAAATTTCCTTATCAAAAATATATATCTTACTAACTCTTTCTTGGCCATCTTTGACCCAAATTTGAATTAGAGCACTTGTTTAAATTGCTTGTTTGCCAACTGATATAATTTTACTCAGACTCATGCTGTTGGCTCAGGAGAGTCAGCACACTAATTAATCCAACACAGTAATTAATTGAGTCACCATGCCAGATGTCAAATCCTTTTTATATCTTTTAAGTCACCATCTTGAAGTACATTATTAATATGCCACATTCTGTGGGAAGCCTTTGCAGACCAAGCATTAGTATGTATATAGGATATTCCAAGAAACAGACTCCTCAGCATTAAACACACACACACACACACACACACACACACACACACACACACACACACACACACAAACCAATTAGACAAGAAGTTATTCCTGGAATAATACAATGCACTGAATGTATAAATAGATTTTTGCTTACCCATAGCTTCTTATCTTGGTAGATGCTTCACACTGTAAAGGTTTGATAATAGCAGCAACAACATAGTAAATTCCTGTACTGGACCAGGTATACTTTATATGAGAGAAAACAATACTTATTTCTGCAATAAAGTATTGAAGAGGAAAAGATGAACACTTCAGGAAGTTAAACAATAGCTCCCAGGAAATCATTTGATACTATAGCCCATGGCACAATCTCAGAAATGTTATATATAATCTAGGAAAAGTAATGTTTGGCTTATGAAGATTCTGAGACTAAATGAGGACTTATATATGAACTATCAACATATATTTGTCCCTGTTACTAGTCTGTTATCTATAAACTTGGATCTATTGCAGTTCACCACATTAAAAGCGTCACAGATCCAAACTAAACATGTAAGACTATTAACTTTGATTTTTTAGAGACATTAGATCTTTGTCAAGTATTTATGATTTTTCAAAGAAACAGAACCAATGTGTTGTGTCTGAACGTACAGATTTACTGTAAGCCTTTGGATCTAGTAAGAAGGAGAGTTCTTATTAGAAAGTAAACTGCTACCTGGAAGAGTTCAAAGGCTGTAGTTTCCTTGTGCCTGGAGAAGTCAATGTATTTGTTATATTTAGACTTTCAATTTGGTGAATGAAGCCTACCTGTACTAGGATTCTTTCCTTGGTTCCAAGGTCATTAATTCAAATGTCAACTCTGGTTAAAAACAAACTCTTGAGTTAACACATAAAATTTACAATCCCAAATTTTGGAAGTCCGGGACATCTTGTGAGTTTCCATTGTCTGGTTTGTTACATCATGTCCCTCAAGAAATTCCTTGCCCTTGCCAGTAAATGAATTTATACTTATTTACAACATTTTAATGTTGCACAATAACATAAAGTGCTCTTGTAGTCCCTTATATTTGGTGCATTGAAAGTCTTGTGACTTCATTGACTGAGAATATAAAAGAGCAACAACAGAGTAGTTTTTTTAAAGTAACTTTAAATTTTGGCCAATATTTGCCTTGAAGACTATATATATATATTATGTGTTTGATGATTTGTTTATCCTCCAAGTACAAAGATAATTCTAAACTAAATCTCTCATCAGTGTTACTGCATGGCAGTAACTAATATCACTAAATATCAATGATGCTTTAAAAGGTTGAGAGTCCAGAATTTAAGTGGCATTTGTTCTCCCTTACTTGGGAATGCTTCAACTGTCAATAACCAACTGACTGGATTCAGCCAACTGCTGGAATGACTCAGAACATAAATACACAGTTCCGTATTGCCACCTAATATTAAACTCATCATGATATAATAAATTAAAAAGTTGGAATTCATAGAGAAGTCTCTCTTCATTCTGTTCAATCCAAATAGATAATTGTTGGATTTTCATTTGTGATATTAAATTCATCAAAAAGGCAATGCATACATGAAGGGTTCATGCTATTGACTTAATAATAAAACAATTCTTATATTAAATCTCATGAAATTCTCAGAGTAGTTATCACAGAAATTTGGGAAAGGAACAAATTAGCAATTCTTGACCCACATCATTATGATCCCATTTTCCAGAGTCCGCTATTTCTTCTCTTTTTGTTCCATCCCTTCTGGCATTGATTTTTGAACCCATTCTCTGTAAAGAGTTCTCCAGTTCGATCCCATCATACACTTGCAGACATATCCATACCTGTATCACTCCAGCATTCATTGCTGTAGACAAAGGCTGTTCAATAGAAACACTTGGGTTTTTGTTGTTGTTTTGTTTGATTTCTACACATGGACATTTCCTTTGAATCCCCTGCAGCAAGTTGTTTGTAGGCCAGGCAAACTGAAAGTCTTAGAGATTTCATATCCTGAATGACAGTCTTCAACTAGTGAGTAAACACAATTTATTGACAAACCTCAAGCTTCTTCATTTCTCTATCGAATTTGAGATCTCATCTATAGTCTTGTAAAAATTGTCAATGAAATTGGCCTCCAGTGGGTCTAACAATTCATCTTTTGTAAACCTATTTTTCTTGTCCTGTCTAATTTTACACATTCCTGCTAGAATTTTTTTTAGTCCACTTACCCAATAAACCACTTACACTTGAATTCCTCTCAGAGTAAGCTTCTAGAAAAGATGCGGTACACAGGCATCCTTTAAAATATAGTGATGGAGGCTGGAGATACAGCTCAGAGGGTAAGAGTGCTTGTTACACTTGCAAAGACCTGGGTTCATTTCCTCACCCCACATGACTGATAACAAGAGTGTGTAATACCAGTCCCAGGAGATCTAACACCGCTTCTGACCTCTGTGAGCACCAGGGAGCCACATGGTGCACAGACATACATGCAGGAAAAATACTCATAAGCAGAAATAATGAACACATAAATGTAAAAGAGGGTTATAGTAAACAAACTAAGTTTGAAAGCCATATTCAAATAAATATTGAGGCGCTAGAGGACAGAGATTTCTTGAATTCTTATTATTCCATTTGGACTTCAACCATTGGTACATAACAGACATTCAATAAATTCTCTTAAACGTCAAATCTAATAAAATGGAATGAACTTACCAGGAACAGTCTCACTGATAACCACCGTGCCCTCCCAGCCTTGCCATGTCAATGATAGAATTGATAATTCTGCTGAAGCAAGACTTTCTTTTGTATCTCAGGCCTCTTTACTGATGTTGACATTGGGAATGATATCTCCCTTTTTAATATTCATTTTCATCAGAGCTCAGTAGCACTATACTCTTCTGCTTCTCTCGGAGCCTTGGCTCTTTTTAATTTCGCTGTCTGTGCATGTTTCCCCAAACACTTCTGGCCTTTCTTCTCTTCTCCCTCTGTTCCCAGTGCCTCGGGGAGCTT